CTCACTGGCAGTCCGGCACTAGAGAAAGTAACTTAATCGTCTATGAGTCGTCTCGGTGATTTTTTCCCAAGAACTTTGTCCAATAGCATGCATCGTACATGTATCATGCATGGGCAGCTTTTGGAAAGACACTACACGAAGTCTTATCAGTTACAAGATGTCACTACAGGTGTCAGCAATGCCCTGGCACTGTCGTGCCTCTTGGCACTAGGGTAGGTGTTGATGTCTTCTATCAGGCAACCGTCTGATAGAACTGCCAATCATTCACGTGCTGTACCGGTGATGGCAACCGTCTGAAGGAATGGCCAATCACTCTCGTACCTTGCCGATGGTTGCTGGCTTGTTGCCTGTAAATGTAAGTATACTAGCTTGCTGCAGGTCTCAGTTTCATGAACGTTAAACCTTTGTCTCAACGTTATCAGTCAATGCCATTATGCTGGCACTGTTGACAATGCCCATTGGCACAAGAGTCATGGTTAGTAGAAACTAGAAAGCAGTACTGGCCCCAAGGCGACGCACAGGCAAATGTTTGAACGGGCCAAGGATAACATAGAGGCTTATATGCAACAAGAACGTTTTCCGGTCGGATTCGCATGGTGTTCTGGCCTAGAGGGGTCTTTCAATTTCACGTTTGTGGTGAAGGTGGGAGAAAGGGAGAAACCAACTGATGAACAAATCGAAAAACTAGGTTTTTGTTGTCACCCAATAGTAGAGGCCTTTGTTTCGAGGCCAATGCGTTGTCCACGACTCAACGACACTAACAGAATCATCTGGAACTGCAGTTGACCTGAAATTGCACCATTTTCTAGGAATATTAATTAATTCATGCCGTAGAGTTTCAAATAACGTGTGTTACAATAGATCTCTTCTATTCTAATGTAACTTTTTTTTGTCCTTGACGAATCCCCTTTGCACTTCTATGGCCCTTTTCCACTAGGATAGGATTGTATGGATTGAGCCGAATAGAGTTGGATTGAAGCCGGATCAAAGGCAAAGCGAATTTATTCGACTCGATCCGGACAATTTTATCGTAGTGGGTAAAGGACCATAGAAGTATAAAGGAGATTCGTGTCAATGCCGATCTGAACTTTGCAACCCATGGCACTGCGGTCTGCCTGTCCCCCGGCTGTGGTGTCATCTGTCCTGTTTGGTTTGATTTGTTGTTACAAGAACATAATCCGGCAGGAGAGTTACCTCACAGCGGACAGGGAGACCCCAGACACCCACAAATCACGTCCTCCTACGCTTCTGTGTAAGATGTGTTGTGAATCAGACACCGTTTCTCATCTATGGAATAATTAATCAAACATTGGAAGAGAATCTGATCTCTGTAAGTAGGTCGGGTTGTTATTTAGAAGATCACCAAAAAAATGCATTTCTACTAAGATCACAAACCCCACTAATTATGCAGAATGTGGGACTATTCATTATCCACTGCCTTCAAAGAAGAAGTCGAACCCTATAATAGCTAGCGTAGTAGTAGAAGTAGAAGTTTTTTTTTCAGACAGTTGTTACCTGTCTCCTGTTACTGTATTGCAATGAGTATTATACTTGATTGTAAAGGCAATTAGCCTTCGGGCATGATTTTACAAATAAATTTTCAATATTATGAAAGCATCTTTGACGACAGGTAGATTTTGAAATTGTGGTATTGAATGGCCGAGTGGTTAGATAGGCCAGCGGACACGAGATTAGGAGGTCATGGGTTCGATCCTCACTCCACCCTGGTGTGAAATTGGTACCTCACTTCGGTTGAGGAGGTGAACCGAGAGGGATGGGCTTTGTATTTGATTACCGTGCTCTAGACACTGCGTCTAGCAGCCGGCAGAGAGGAAAAAGGCACAGTGTCCTTTACTTTAGTATCGAAGTCATGTTGTAGTTTTCAATGGGTGCATTTGGGGACAAGCTAAGGAAATAACGACACTGGCAACTAGTGTCTGTATATAGCCATGATATTTTAAATACTTCAGACAAGCGTTAGTCTGTGTAGGATATTTGTCGCCCCCTTTGCCACGTACAAGGCACAAGGTCGCCGTTTCATGTCTTCCTCTGGTTTCCTTGAGCTTAACGTCTTGAGACGTCTCCCCAATGTAAGGAGATATCCGTGTGTCCACCAGTCGTGACCCTGAGGCCGAACAGGCTTGACCTTCGGCGATCCCCGTAGCTAGAGGTCCCCGGATGGATCACCATGGTGATTCGAAGTGACGGCCATCTTGGAATGAGTACGAACCCTTGTACTCAAGCCAATAGGTGTTGGCGGCAGGTCATAAATTGTTGTCACGAAGTAATGTCAATCTTTCTTTATGGCAATCAAGTACAAGTACAAGGTAGAGCGGCTTTGGAGATTTAAAATTGTTGTAGTCTATGTAGAGAAGGGTATGCCAGGTTGGATTTGCTTTCGTACTAGTTTACCGGGTCATGCTGATTTAGTTTTATGGATGGCATCCATACGCGCGTTGATTTTTGCTTGAAAGAAAAAAGATGTTCAAACCTTCGTGCCAATAGTATCTTGCGACAACAGGGAGCCGGCGGTAACTACGGAGGGTGGCGCACAGACTACAGAGGCTCCGCAGAACTCCAGAAATCAGTACAGTGCCGACTCATAAATGTCGCAAAAGGCCAGCATGTGCCGGCTTGTCGTAAAAGTCGTTATGTACTACCTCAACTCGCAATACCAGCTTTGTAGTCCTGTGGTTTAGCAGTGTTTTGCCGGATTTCATTTAATTTGCTATTTCGCATTAGTTTTGGGGTCTCCAGAGGATGTCATCCATAAAATTAAGGCAATGTGGCCCTACGTGTAGTGGGGAGGGGGGCGGTGTAGCGGACGGATAATTTATACTCCTGTGTACAATACGCGTGCGTACAGCTGTCATTCAATCTGACTTAGTACGCGAACATAAACAAATCCAGAAGCCTGATGGAGGACCTCTGTGGCCCCCAGACGGCTCAGCTGAACTGTCGGATGTAGGTACTCCTCAATGTCACATTTCTAAAGAGTTTCAGTGGTGTAGCCTTGGCGTGCTCGGTAACCTCTACTGAACTGTGCGGGTGAAAACGTGTTTTGAGGCACAGACACAGTTCTTGCTTTTGTTCCCTTTGACTTATGACGTGAGAAGTGCGGGAGAGTGATGGTATAACTGGTCGAAATAGAGCTCGTTTTTCCTGTCAAAAATGGCTCGAAAATGATGTTCTCCGATTTGGTAGTAGTCTTCCAAGCAGCTGATGACGAAAAAAATTACTAGAATGATTCTGGATTAAGAGACCATTTGACTTATGATGTGAGAAGTGAGGGAGAGTGTGGATATAACCGGTCAAAATAGAGCTTGCTTTCTCTGGTCAAAAATGGCTCGAAAATGCCCCTCTTTGATTTGATAGTAGTCCTCCACGCAGTTAAGAATGTAAAGTTCACCAGAAATGTGATCTGGCTTAGAAAATGAGACCCTAACAGGGTTTACTACTTGGGATAATCCTACTTTAAGCCCACAATTAAGCGTAATTTTCTTACTTCCGTCTGGATCTTAGTCAAAGTAGGCCATGTTCTAATTCCTTCCCGAAGCCCTGTTGTTCATTCATTAACATCCCCTAAGTTACAGGGGTATTTAGGTTATAGCTACCTTGAGGGTTAGTGGTTTTTGGTTCCACCTCAGAATTGATATCAGACGGTAGCATGGACTCAGAAAAGTTTGAATCCTGCCATGTCACCGATCTTGTGCCCTTGGGGGGAATAAGGCACTTTACAGGAATTTCATCACTTTACTCAGGTGAAAAAGAGTATGTCTGTTGTCCGTGCGTTTGTCTGCGTTGGTGAGAAAAAACTTGAGTGTGCCGTCACCATGTCTTGTAATAAATGTTTGAATAGAAAAAGAGTTTCGTCGTAGCCTTCCTGTAGCGTATTTTAGTTCTTTACATGATGTTTATCTGACGTTTTAGTCAGAAATTCATAAATAAGTTTGCAAAATTTAGTCTGTAAAATGTTCGAAAAAGATTTTAAGCAGAATTTGTTATCCTGTCTTATGTTACGTAACCAAAAGAAAAACACATTTAACAGCAGTAGCTCATTAACCTGGGCACGGGATGGAATGTTAGATCTCGTTCCCGGGAAGATATTGTTTGCAATTGTGTAGTACTACGTAATTTTACTATCAGAGGGATTGTTCATTAATAGCTGATTCTATTAAGGGGAGGGGTTGAAAGCAGAAGGGGGTAGCTGTCATCTTGATTGATCGTCCTAAGCCTATTCCAATAGCCACACAATCAAGAGTGTCCTGCGTAGCTCAACAATCACAACAACGGGTCACGATGCCTTTCAAAAAGGTCACCAGCAACAAAGTACAACAACAAAGGGCTGCCCTATATCTCCATTGGTCACCAGTCACAGCCTTTTCCTATATAAACTGGAGCGAAAAATCGTAACAAAAAGGAAAAGAAAGGGGAGGGCAGAATGGCCCAGAAGAAAATTGGTGTGTATCGGGCACCGAATGTGATGCTCGTTTTATTCACAAGTTGTTTTCATTTGCGTCAGACATTGAAGTATGGTTAACTGTATGTTCTGACCTTGGAACTTGAAAATGTGATGTAATAATCTTACAAAAGGTTTGACAAAACTACACCTTTTCCTTTAGTTGTTGTTCTTCTACTGCTACTTGTAACCATGATTAACTTTGTTCACTCGTTACCTGGACGATTCCCATGTTTTGTGTTTTGTGATGTAATTTTTATTTTATGTCCAGTGGTGACGTGAATATAAGCATGTAGCTTGAGGCGTCACCACTATGTATTGTATATTTGCATGTTGGAATAAATAAATAAAAAACATGATTTCCGTCACGGGTCATTTTATACGTGCTTTGTCAAACCACGAACCAGGGAGAAAGAAAAGAAAAGAAAGGGTCCTCAAAATGTGACTATTTTGTAGATCAATAGGTTCAAAAGAGCCTCCTATGTGGGTGAGGCATATTGCAGGATGTTTTCGTAATATTGTCTGTCTCTCTTTTTTGCAGACGACACACTAACAGATGAATATTATGGGTACGTCGGAGATTTACGTCATCACCTGCATGGTGATGACGTTGCTGCTTCACGAGGCGCATGCGCAGCAGGAGAACCTCAGCTCAGCGGTGACCAGACTAGACGCCCAGTTGAGGTCCATGGAGCGCCGCCTGCGGACACAGGTACGAACGGCAGGACCTTCGAATCTTTCCAATATTTTTTTGTCGGGAGCCGCAATGCCCCCTGCTTTGTGACCAGTATCACTTTTTTTTTCATATCGCGGTTTAGTGGCTGTCTCTTCCATAGTGCAGTAGGTGTTTCGTTTCGTCGCTGGGTGTCAGATACATCACCATATCAGTGAATGAATTTTAGCAAGCAGGCAATTCGCCTAAAACAGTTACTCTGGCAACTGGATATGATTTTGGAAGACCTCTAGTGTCACTGCCGAAAGGTAGTGGATGCCCTCTGAAACATCTGACCGTTTCCAAACTCATATCCAGTTGCTTGAGTAACTTGTTTTTGACGCATCTTATTACCTGGATGTCCAACCTTCACCGACGTATCAAGCAGATAATTCTTAACCGCACGTAACCGCTAATAAACTATTACAAAATATCAATTCTCGGTTAGAAAGAGCTCACGATATGGTTATGAAGACACTGTTACTGTATTGAGACTTGTTTGTCATTCCTTCTACAGGATGTCGTGCGAGACAACCAGAACAAGAAGCTTCTGGAACAGAACAGGCGTCAGACGGAAAAGTTACGCCTTCTGAACGGGCAACTGGACAAGCTCCAGGCTAAGGTCGTTGACGTCACCTCCGCTCTGGAAACGAGCAGACTAGACGCTTCCGATGCGCGCCAGAAAGCGCTGGAGCTGCAGACTAAAGCAGGGAGACAGGAGAGTACAATCATGGACCTGAACATGAGGGTACAGGCGCTAGAGGGCGCTAAAATAGCGTACGAGAGCACGCTGTCGAGCCTGCAACGCAAGGTGGACTCGCTAGAGGCCGTAGCCGTGAACAGGCCAACCTCTGGGGTAGATCTCGGAAGGGACGAGGACGAGGAATCAATCGTCGATGAGGATTCGCTCTTCGACTATGATTCCATCTTTGTCGCTCAAGAGCCAGACTCGAAAAAGAAAAAGCTGAGCAATAAGGCCATACAAAAGTTACTACGCAATCACACGATAGAAATAACAAGGTTAATGCGGCGACATACGGCAGCTTCAAAGACTGTCAGTGGTCTTGAAGATGATGTCAAAAAGAATGTCCTGGCCATATCAGACCTGAAGCTCAAGGACAAGGCGCTAGAGGGCACTCTTTCACGGACGACGTCTCAGATCCTGGAGTTCTCTTCACAAAGAACTGTCTTTGGGGCGACCGTGTCGTCCATAAGGAGCGAGGTGTCTAGTGTCAGGTAAACTGCACATCTCTAACGTTACTATCATTTTATTTCTTCCAAGCAACGAATGACCATATTTGTCTAAAGTTAAAACTTTTGATCCAACACAAAAAATTATCTCACCTAGAGCTTTCGAGCAGTCACTCTGGTCTTCCTCACTAGACTGACCCAGTGAGGCTTGTCACGTGGCTTAAAGCTCTAGGTAAGAGAAGTTTTTGTGCTGGATCAACCTTTTAAACTTTAAACATGTATTAAAAATTTTAACATGAACTTTCATGACAGCAATAACCATATTGTTGCAATGTTAAAGAGTAATTGGGCGATATATGAACTTGCATCGGAGAATATCTGGTCCATGGAAAGGGTATAGTTATCATTTCCATATCGCACTGATTTCCATGTAGGAAGAGAATGGACGAGACAGCGAACAAAGTGTCGAACGCTACAGCGTGGATCGCCACCATGGACACCAAAACAAAACGCCTGGGCAACAGTCTGTCAAGCCTGATGAGCGACTATAGGTAAGCTGCGGAAGCTACAGGAAAGCATTGAGAACTGTGAAGCCAATTTTTATCATAAGTGAATACTATTATTTTTTTCTATGATTGTACATCATTTAGTATATTCAGCTACACGGTTCAAATTGCACAGGAGTTTGACCGAAACTTATGGTCCCTAGACCCCCTACACTTTATAGCAGACACACATGATTTGTCAGCAATTTGATTTGTAAAATTTGAACTGAGCCGTCCTGTTGTTTGCGCAGTTAAGTCATAGTCTTTTTGAAACATACTGAAAGTAGTATTTCAGCCGTACTAGGAACATACTAACTGGACTTGAACTGATATTAACTCTGTTGTAGGAGGTACTTCGGATCCCAAAGCTCGGGAGAGAAGACAATAGGAGAGATCGTCAGGGACTTGAAGGGTGAGGATGAAAAACTGATGGAAGGAATCAAGTCAAATGACGTGAGTATATCACACATCACACTATTAGTCGACTTTGTACTTCTTCTTGAATAGCCACCTTATAGTGTACGTACACCTTAGCTTATTGTTTATAGGATTGGTTACTTCATGTATTGATATTGTTGTCCGTAGGTTGGACTATTGGATCTGGAGAACCGTATGGAGAACATTGAATCACGTATTGGCAGAACGCCCTGGCCCATTGATACACCCTCCCAGAACGCAGTATCATCAGAAAAGGTAAAGATGTGTTTCACATTTTTTAGCCGTTTCTTGGCGACTCTATGTAATTTACGTTCAGTATTAATTTCGCAAGAAAAAGATTTCTTAACATTTCGTTTTAAAAACTAATTTCTGTTTTAAAACTGGGCCCTCTGAGCCTGCGCGAATTAGTGACCTTTGATCTGATCACGCCTTTACCGCCGTGTCACGTGACAGTTCACAGAGCTGCGGCGAGATTTGACGAGACTTGAGGCAGACCTGCAGAGGGCAGTGGGCGAGGTGCGGGGGGCTATGACCATGCTCAGTGCGCATGTGCAGGAAACATCGTACCTTCCACGCAAGGTAATATCTTCTTTGTTTTAGTTATCCAAGTGCATGACGACTAATTTTCAGTGAAACATTAACAAAAAAAAGCTGCTAGCTTAGTATTTTTTTCTCTTTTTACTAGCTGCATGTGTTTTAACTGTTTATCATGACTTAAGAAAAGGAATCGCCGAAGATAGTAAGCGTATAGCATCAACATGATTAATACGCTTAAATTTTTCAACTAACCCTTCGGTTGTGGAGTGATTGGTCATTAATTATCCTGATGAAGGCGACAGTGGTCGCTGAAAATTTGATCCATGTAAATTGTGTGTTGGAATAAAGTTTAACGTTTTACTATAACCCTTCGGTCTTCTTTAAGTAATATGACCCACTATCCCCTGACACTTGGCTTTCCTGATGTTATGATGTTTTTTAATGTACAATGTACAATAAAGGTCTTCAATCATTTAATCAGTTACGTTGGTTTAACAGAAGTTTAATTGCCTCACCAACAGATCTCCAATATGGACCGTCTGCTGCAAGGACACGGGATCTTCATCAACTCTTTCCAGGCTCAGATAGACGACCTGAAATACGTCATCAAGGAGCAGAATCAGACGATATTTGAGGTGCAACTCGCGGTCAACGGACTTCAGGTACGAACAACAAAATTTACCCCAATACTGAATGACCTACAAAATTGTTATTCCATCAAGTGGATAAATTTTGAAAACTATATGTCGAGCGTTTTAAGTAGCATCCACTTTCAGTTACTGAAAAGCGGATGCTACTTGAAACGTTGAGTAATAGTATTATAGTCAGTTTGTCCTCTACATGTTCACAGCTGTAACTCACGATCCCTTTGCTTCAGTGATATGAAGTTGCTAGTTTAGATTATACACGTTGTTTTTTCTGAGCGCTGAACACAATAATTAGGTTGATAGAGTCTTACTAGATGGTACTGAAGTACATGTATAGAATTTATGGCAATACATATTTTTAAAAATCAACTGACAAAAAGGCAAATGTAGTGACCATATGGCATCCAATTTTCCGAAATTTGTTGAAAAATGTATGATCTTGTTCTTCTTGTCTGCTATTCTTCTTACATTCTGCTCTTGTTTTCAGGAGACCTTTGTGAGCTTGTTCCCAGAGTCTTCCGGTAAGAGTTCCCGCCAGCAGAAGCAGATGGACAGAATGGGAGACAAGCTGAAGGAGATGGGGGTGAACATGGAGCGGCTGACCGGTAGAGTGTCCGCCGTGCAGCAGATTGCTGCCAGTGTTGAGCCAATGAAGAACCAGGTATCAGTGTCATTTTTTATTTAAAATCAGCCAATGAAGAATGAGGTATCCGGGTCAGTTTAATCTAAAATCACCCAATGAAGAACCAGGTATCATGATCAGTTTTATTCAAAATCGACTAGCCTCAGGGTTGGACAAGTCCAATTGCCCACTTGCCCAAGTAAAAGTATTGTTCGGGCAAGTGCATATGCCCTTTTCCTTGCTTGATTGGGCAAGTGAATTTTTTGGATCCAAAGTATAGCCGCTACAGTGTTTGGAGCAAAATTACTTATCATTTTGCCATAATGATATTATATTAATGCCCAGAAAATCCATTACAAGTCTCAGACCACCTTATTTTGATAATTTAACATAAAGCATGTAACATTATAAACTCTAAAAGAAAATAATTTCCTTGCTGGTAGTAAAAATGCATATAAAAATGTTGTATACTTTGGGCAAGTGAAAAGTTGGTTCGGGCAAGTAGAAATGACCATTTACTTACCCGATTTGGCAAGTGGATTTTTGAAAACCTGTCCAACCCTGGGCCTGCCACATAAAGTATGTCGAAGTTTCACATGTTTCTGCAGACTGCACACTATAGCTACTTCTTGCGTGAACAAGGCTTGGCGATGAAGATCACCATCTAAAGTTTTCAATGTTATATTACTTAGAATGTATATACATTGTAGTTCTATAAGACTACGTGATACTTGTAACTTTCTTTCTAGATAAAGAACATCTCTTCCTTCATGACGAACTTCACTGGAACAGCTCAGAAGTTGGAACTGGTCAGTGTCAGGGTCACGACATTGGAGGATCAAGGTCCGGAGTTCCAAGCATTGAAGGACAAAGTAAGTTATTATTTCTGGACAAGCTCAATCTGTGTTATTTTCTACAATTTTCTGTACTTCACACTGTATATGATACGATGTACAATTTAAAAAAAACGGCTTTGATCGGAGTTTTCTGGGAACAATTTGAGATTTACGTCAATTTTTCTTGTTGTTTGTTTCTTTAGGTTTTTGTCATAGACAGAATCGCCGGAGCAGTACCTTTGATCCAGAGAAACGTCAGTACCCTCCAAGACGAGGTCGGTATAGTTGAGACCTTCTCCCAGAAGATGAAGAATCTTGAGAGATCCATGGTCGTTATCGGTGGTAAGGTCGCGGACTTCAGCAATGTCAAGGTCGCGACGATGAAGCTAGAAGAAAGAGCAGACAACTTTGACATAGGTCTTCAAGAAATAAACAAAGTCACGCGTTCCATGGAGGAACTACAAGAGAGAATGTTCAGGGTCAAAAGCAAGGTGTCAGAAATCGATTCGCTGATGACCATGGTTCTCATAGGAGCGAACACAACATCCAACACCATTCCCGGACCAGATGAAAGCACCGACGAGAAAGATGCCGCCATCTTGGAACTTGAAGGTCAAATTCAGGTTCTTCAATCAGCCTTGCAAAAACTAGCCTCACAGCTTGGGAACTATACAACAGAAAGCAACAAGAAGATGAACGAGCTAGAAAGGTCGATCATATTTGGAGTAAACACTCCTATTGCCGGTGCTGGTGGGGAACATGAATCGACTTCTTCTCCGGGAGCCATCATGGCATTCAGCGGCCAGTTACGAGAGGCATTGGAGAAGGTTGAAATGTTAGTAAAGGCCATGCAGAACCAGGCTACATCCATCTCGGACAACACTCTGAAGATCCGCGAGCTGGGAGACCTTGTCCAGCAGTTCGGTACAGTTTCGCCAGGCGGCAATGTCATCACGGAGCTGCAAACCAAACTGAGCATCTTAGAACAGATGCTCCAGCCTGGGAACATCCCCACTTTGGATTCTGGTAGAAGCTTCGACTTTGAAGAGCTACAGGGGATGAGGCAGCAGCTTGCAGGGGCTCTGGCGACATCAAGTGAGTTAACCAACAGGATTCAACAACTGGAGTCCCTTTACCAGTCATCCATATCATCAAAACCAACAGCATCGGCGGAGCTTTCTGCCGAAGTTGAGGAAAGGTTTGTCAAAGTTGAGAACGACAGCCTCGCAGCTCGAAAACTCATCCAGACCATCAGGGATTCTGTGGAAGCCTCTGTGCTGGAAATGCAGGTGAAATTCTAACTATTCATAATTAAATAACTTGTTCTCAATGTCTGTACACTGTAGCATATTTGTCTATGGAAGGCAACGATTGTGTCTTTTTGTGAGGCATTGAAAGATACACGCCTAACTGAAAAATCATCACACAGTGAAATTGTCTGGCTTTCATTGAATATAGATGCAATAAGGAACACTAAATTGAAACTTTTTTTGTAGGGGCAAGTTGCAAAGCTGGAAGCCTTTTCGGATACCTACAGCTCCCTCGCCAACTCTCTGAAAACAGTCAATGAGGGTGAGGCACAGGCTGACTCTCAGACCTTCAAGGTCATCGCAACTGACCTTGCCGTGCTAAAGTCGAACGTGGCGACCCTACAGAACACCATCCGGGTTTACGACCCACGGATCCTGGTGGTAGGGCAGCTGGAAATGGCCGTGGCGGAAATAGACGATCGTCTGAAGCAGCATATCTCCAGGCAGCAGAGTATGTCATCATCCAACTTACAGGTATGGAAGGAACAACAGTCCCACAGGATCCACAAAAAGTTTTGTTGCAGCTGCTTCAGAGAGTTCTTTTGTACAAAATATGCTATTGTGAGCAATAGCCACGGAAAGTGTACATAATAGCAGTTCACTAAGTCATGGACTAATCAATGGCTCACAGCTGCCAAGTGTTCACATTTAAGATTAAAATGAAGTGGATGTCAAGTGGATAGACTCTTGAAGACTGCAGGCCGCTGTTGTTGATAGTACCCACTACAGTGTCTGCGAGTTTTTATGATGAAACATATGATGACGATGAAACGACAGATGATGAGATAAGACAGAGATGAATTACTGTGTTTTCTATCTCTGTATATCCCCCTACAACACTCACAGGAACTAGCCCAGATGCAAGTGCGTTCAGAAGAAATACAGAAGACAGTGGACGGCCTTCGCGCTGCAGTAGCCAGTTTTGAGAGAAGACTACTGGAGGTGGCGTCCCAGCCAGCGACAGCGGCAATCAGTTCACCAGGCGATGCCTTCATGGAGTACCACAATGAAATATCAGAGTTGATAAATAACGCTAACCAGGTAAATAAAACACAATCTTAACGAAACACATCGTTATACTGTACTGTGTGTGCCAACAATGAGCCAGTGTTGTCGTATCGTAAGATCAGTGCGTACTCGATCGAGACGATCTATGAACTATGAAGCGTAAACTATAGCATATTTCAGAAACATTGGTCATGGATCCGGTGAAATGTATACCTTAACGGAGCATTATGTAACATTTTTGCACCAAAAACTGGAATATTTTAATTTGAAAAACATTTTCATCTGATTTAGATTTTCTTCAAGTTTCAATATATTTGTGCAATTATCTTACATTTCTTACAGATGTGTTTCCAGCTCTTGAACACACATGTGAGGCGTCATATTTTGGCACCTCCTCTTCCGGAATGACACTTATTAGCAATGGAGTAGAGTTGATTCACCTTATTTTTTTTTTATTCTTTTTTATTCCAACATGTAATCACCAGACGTGGTGACGACACACTCACGTTTCTTCAACTTATATTAATGCCACCACCAACACAGGGGACAAATACGTGACAGGACAATACTCATTTACACCTGAGCTAAGTGAGGAAAGCCCTGTAAAGTGTGCCTTTCCCAAGGGCACAAGATCGGTGGCATGCCAGGACTCGAACCCGGGACTCTTAGTTCCGAGTCGCGCACTCTGCCGCTACGCCACACGACCCCACACCTTATTTGTGAAGAAACGACCAGAACATGTCCTGATGTTACACAATGCAGTTTTAAGTCAGAGCTCTTATGTGTGTGTTTTTTTTTTTTTTTTGCAAATCTTTTGCTTGACTCATTCACCCACACGTCTGTCTACCCAGGTAAACCTGACGCTGTCCCGGCATCAGGCCGTACTGAAGACCTTACAGACTCAGTACGCGTCCAACAAGGTGATGATCAACAACATGATGGGGAGTATCCAACAGCCCAGTCAGCCCAGCCAACCTCAACAGCCCACCGTGGAGCTGGAGTCCATCGCCAGGTCAGTGTACCTCCTATACTAAAATTGTAATGATAAATAAACTTGACAAAGTAACCTTCAACACATAAAATTTAACTTTTATACTCTTATGCTTGAAAAGATGCAGGTTGATGAATTATTTAACATTTAGTCTGCTCTATCGATATAAGCGTCTAGAGTAAAGGCTGTATTCTGTATGTAGTAGCATGAACAACTTATTTCATTATCTTGAATTCTATAAAAATACAAAAATGCATTTGTTACCAACTGCAGCATTCTGGGTTGAAACTTACCATTTTTCACACAAAAAGAACTCACTCTCAAAGACATTTGTCAAATCATCGCTTGACTCATTGCGTATCAGTCCGAAGCCAGTTTGCGACCCAGGCTTTCCTAGGGACAAGGCACTTTAACTGATGTGACATGATGACACATCCACTATGCGATGTGCCATGATGACACATCGACAAGGACTTGAGTATTAATGTTGAGTCAACATTCGATTAACACAACCAGGTTGGAGACTGCAATAACCAATCACGACGCAGCTTTGAGTGACGTCAAGGCGGAAATAGCCAATCACAACTCGCAGCTGTACCAATTAAAGTCGCTGTTTGCGCAGTCTCATTCGAGTGTGTCTCAGTTCGAGTCGAAGACCACCGAGCTGGGCAACATGATCTCTGTCAACAGGTGCTGCTATGGTGTGCGCGATATGTTGTTGCGCATGCGCATGCTTTGTGTGGCAAACGCACTGTGTGACGTCATGAACACAAAGTACCAGTGGCAACTTTTGTGTCGCCTAGCGCCTGCGCACTTCTGACGCCACGTTTTACCGACCCCATGTCCTATCTCACGTGCATGTGTTTTATAAAGCAGCACGTGTATATGGCAAATACGTACACTTGGTGTGGATTTTCACATGCTACACATATATGAAGCGCGCATGGATATAACGCCACTGCATGGCCTGGGAGTAAACCGGCTTTTTTGAACGCTGCCGCTGTTCTCCAGTAGACATGTGCAGAGTGGGGCCATTCAGAGACTGGAAAGAAGGACGGGACGACTTGAGGGAAGAGTTAACGGCTTTAGCATGGACATTGCCAAAGTCAGGTACCGGTCTCATCACTTTTTGTTGGTTAAGCCCCTGTCACACATTCACGGATTTGGCCTCCGAACACTAGCCGAACGTCCCCCAACCATGGTTAGGAGGAGGTCGGTGCAACGCTGGCTGTTGTTCGGTCGACTGATATTCGGGGACATTTTTATTTGAGAGAACGTCAAGAATGTGTGACAGGGTCTTTAGACTTGTAGCTCAATAGTTAGACTTGCTATTGTAGTCGGTCGTGTTTTAGATCTATTGTAAAATTCTTATAACTGACGAAAAATCTTGTATTTTGAGATTTTACTTTTGCTTGATATGACTGATAAGTATATTGACTTTTGCTTGTTTTGAGCTAAAATGCCTAGAAATATTGTACCCAGGAATACCATTGACTTGGTGAATTTGACGGTATCCAAAATGGAGAATCAAGTCCGTGTCTTCTCACTCATGAATCAGGTGGGTACCACGTGATCATATCTTGTCCTTCACGTGATGATCACATGTATGTTGACCTTGAATGCTGCGTTTCTTTACACGCAGGTGGTACATAGTAAGCTTGAATGTCATTTTGTACACATAATTTCGAAAACTTTCCCATCGTAACCGAATATATCTCGAGCTCATGCACTTTTGCCTTTGAAAGACCTCACGGATAACGTTGCCTCGTTGTTGTCTAATTTGCACGTTTATGTAATGCATGTCTTTGTCTTACGCACGCTCATGACACGTGCCAGTCACGTGACTACGATACCACGGAGCTCATGAACATAACATTGGATAGCGTGGACGAGAACAATGGCACCATATTACCCACAATTCAGGTGGGTGTCACGTGATGTCAATTCTTGCAGTTCACACCTCATGAAGACCAGAAGATAACATTTTCCTTAAAACCCCTGCTGCATAATCTCGATAAGATTAATAACACTAATCATACTGACAGGTTCAACTTTTCGACTGGCTGGCAACAACGGAATGACGTCACCATCATCATCATCCGCCATTTTGGTTTGCTAACCAGGGGTGTCTCTGCACGTGATTTTGTAGAAAAGACGTTTTGTTTTGTTCTTACTGTGTAGTTCTGGAGGCATCCCGTACTGACATATTGACATCGCAACCTGCAGCTGCCTTATAAAAATTTGTACGCAACGGTAGTATAGTATACAGCGTTAAAAAAAGAACTTTTAAGGACGATATGGCTTGCATACAACGTTGTACAGTACATGCAAAGCATTGTAAAACCGTCCCTTGTTATAGAAGAAGATTCATAGAAACATGAACGTTTTGTCGTTAGATTTGCCAGAGAACTTTTGGCGTTACCATGGAAAACTGTATGTATCAGAGAGCTGTATGTATCGTTTAAAAGCAGATGGTAGCGGTAGCTGTCCCAATTTTGTGAGCACAGACAGTGCAGGTATTGACTGTAATTCAGGAACCATTATTGTATCCACCTTTAGTTTTAGTTCTTAATTTTTCAGTCCTTGGATAGAAATTATAGTTGTAAGACCGAAGGTACTTGCTCAGTTGTAGGCAACTGTAGCTGTTCTTTTTGTTTGTGATGCTAGCATATTTTGTAAGCAATGCTGGCAATGTCGCCATGTTACACCATCACAGAAAATCACCAGGATCGGCGACCAGACCCGGCAACTGTCACAGCTGAGAAGTGACGTCACTGTGTTGAACAACGGCCTGGTCCGTCTGAACCGTGACCTGCTGATGATGCGCAGTGACCTGGCCAACAAGACCGGGGCTGTCGACCAGCTCACCAGGCTCAACATCACCGGAGCCATGCAACAGATCGGGACAAAGCTGCTCAGTCTGGAGGCTGCAGTGAACGGTCATTCAGGTATGTCTCAGAAGTAACGTTTTGAGTGGCAGATCCGTAATCGTGGGTTTGTGTATCTGTTTTTGTCCTGGAGTAGGTTGACAGCACGTGGGTTTGAAACATGCAGAATGACGGGATGTCATCAAAGGTCTCAGAATCTGACCGGAAGCAAAAGCGACATGGGGACAATTCAGGATTACACACTTCCTGGGAGTCTGTAGTCTCCAATTTCTTGTGTATAGTTTGTCAAATGAGCTATGTATGTCTTCTCTTTATCGTTGTCATCGCCATGCGATCCATTCGAGAAAGAGGGCAACACGCGGTACGTGTCGACCAGATTCTAGTCACCTGTTTCTCCAAGTTTGTGTTCTGTGTTTGTACGTCTGCTGCTGTGTTTCTTGCTTGTGTCATTGTCTTCAGCGTCTACATGACATGACTACTGTCAAGTGGTATTCATCAGTTCTTCTGTCTGCTTGACTTGTAAATTTCATCGATTCTACATCATATATTGTCAGCTTGACATGCAATGTTCATCCATTCCACATGTATTTTCACGTGTTTTCTCATCCATCTGAAAGCAAAGCGTCCCCGACGACCAAAACCAAAAGGTCAGGCATCTGGACGACGTGCACAGGCACTGGCGTTCAATGGGCCAGGTTAGTAATACAGTGTCCTTCGACATGCGAGATTCAATCTTACTCATTCTTGTTTTGTGCCATTTACCACTATGTATACATAGCAGACAGTGTTGTCCATTTCCAATGACAATCTGACACAGTATATGGTCATTCATCTTGTGTTTTTTATACACATCAAACTGCTCTACGGCCGTGTTACTTCTTACTTGCTACGGCCGTGTTACTATACTTTGTATCATTCACTTTGCACCATTGTTTCTGTGTACATCTTTGTCCTTCATTTCACATCATGCATATGGTTATCTCTTTAGGATCCTACATCGATCACGTACAGCTGAACAGGAGGATGCGTACGTAACGTCCTGGTGATTTTTTCATAACCAAAACTCATCTTTTCTAACTCGATCTAGGTATTCTAGGCATAGATGCCCTTACTACTACCATGGAGATTCAATCTAGTGTTTACCACGACTAATAGATGATATAGTCCTTTATGTCGACTTTTTTTCATGCAGTTCGTTCATACAACTTATCACCTTGTCATTCTTTCTAAAAACTTTTCGTCGCACTCTGTCGGATTTAGGTTACTGGTAGGTATTAGTTTCATAATATACCCTAAATGCAGAAATGTCACTATGCTTATGAACTATTACAACTAATATTATTAGAATCACGCCTAGTTTATTGTAGCATTAAATCCATTAAGCAACATAACATTTAAATTGTTTATACTTAGGCCGCATAATGTATCATAATGGCAATTATTTCATGGATGCATAGGAAATTCAAATCATGTCACTTCAAAACCTATGAAATATATAAAATCAAATCAATGGAATCTATGAACTAAATATTGTCAAGAAAAACCCTACACTTTAACTCTGTGCATATGGTACCTATATCATGTTCTATCTCCAGGTGTCCTGGAAGCGTTGATTGACGAAGCCAAGTCGAAATTCGAGGAACATGGCGGAGATATCGAGAAGCTGAAGACCATGGACACCAACTTCGACTACAGGCTTAACATACAGGTATGTCTGAATCAGCCAAAACGTAATTCTTAACACATTGTTGGGACGAAATGGGGAAGACAAAATGCACAAAATACACAATTGAAATAAATGCATGTATTTTCAAAACCAAGTGTAGTGATTTTGCTTTAAGTAAAACAGACATACTGTGAACTACTGTGTTGATGATTCTATTCTTTCTTTTCCTTTTTTCAGGTCCAGAAAATCATGTCCCTTGAGAATGATCGAGGCGCCATCGAAAACGCCCTCAAGAAACACCAGGAGATCATCCAGCGATTGGACGGCACCATGACCAATCAGAACACCGTTCTCTCCAGCCTAGAAGAAAAGATGTCGTCGGGAGAGACTGCGAAGCTGACGGAAAATTCCGTTGAGAACGAGTTGGGAGGACTCAGCTCAACTCTCATTGGTCGGCTGGAGAAGGCAATGACCAATCACAGCCTTGCGATTGTGGACATTCAGAAAAGTCTATCCCTCCATGATCAGAACGTGGTACGACTAGATACAATGGTAAGTGTGCACCACGACATACTATCCCGGGTCAAAACAACATCAGCAGAATTTAGAACAGACATTGACACATTACAGACTACCATTAAAGACTTACAAATGCAAGTTGAAGAGGGAGGCACTACGATCTTACCAACCGGAGATCTTGAGGTCGACCTGGTCACCGAATCAGTAAATAACAATTCCCGTTCTCTTGTCCAAGTTCGTCAGTCAATCACCGATATAATTGAGAATCTAGGGAAAATGGAGGCTGTGGTAGAAGATCTGAGGCAAACAACTTCGAGCGTTGAGCCCTCAGCCAATCAGAACGGCGCAGATGACATCATTACGCCTGAGCGAGCCAATGAGCTCGTCGCAAACAACCCACTTGTCACGCAACTTGCGAATCGTCTGGCCAATCACAGCCTGGCCATAGATGTTTTACAAGATATCACGCAGGCGCAGTACAGGCAGGTGGGTTGAAGCGATCGTGCAAATCGTCGTCTTGTCTGCAGCCGTACAAGCTTTGCAAAAGTCTCGTCCATGAAACAGCCCGGTCCGCATAGACGCAGCGTATTCACTTACACCCATAGCTGCATTGCTGGCACTACGTAAGCTAGTTTTTAGATAAACTGCATTAACGTTACATTTTGGCTGTCCACGTATTTTTTCTTCTTCGCCGCACTAAAGTTTCAACTGGTGCCAATGCGTGCCATTACAGCCGGCCCATCCCTTCCGTGTTTTAACACATTGCAGCGTAGCTATAGTGGGTTTATTCCCCGGCACTCTGCAGCTAAACTTTAACCCTTTATGGATTTATTTTACGTGTACATTTATATATTGTACATTCTCTGGGCCTACATGTAACGTTTCTCCCACACCGACTTTATGCTTCTCTTGTCGCTGGAAGCCCGGTGGCTCGTCGATCATCGTCGCGGAGACTGTGTTATAATGTATGATAATAACACTGAGTGTTGATGCCAAGTATCGTTTTTGTTGATGTTAAGTGTACGTTTTAACTTACTAGTATCAATTTGTAGCATCAATGTCAGGTTTGACACCTCCATGTAAGTGGCCATATCTTTGAAGCAACTTGTCTGTCTGATGTCTCGATCACACTACTCTGTATCACTCTTTTGGCTTGTAGTTCTACTTGGTCTACTTCCTTCATTATGTTTGTCTCGTCTTTATAACTCTGTGGCTTGTGCCCTAACACTGTCTCAACTTGCTGTTTGTATCGTCTTTGTATCCTTCCGCCAAGACATACCATCTGGCCCGTGCTTTGTCCAACCTGCGTGAAGTGGCTGTATTCGATCGCAAACAGGTCAGTCCGCCATATTCTGCTGTGACACTGGTGTCCAATTCGTTACTGTCTTTCCATGTTTTACTGTTTGCAACAGCCGTTGCTTCTGACTGTCGTTGTGTCGCTGTTCTTTGTAGCCAGGTATCCATTCCTATTTTATAATATCATCTTGTACCTTTCTGTCCCTCTTTAAACTAGATATGACAGGCATGGTTACTTGGCTAGAAGACCAACTCCTGTCCCTATCACACATGCAATGCTGTGGTGCCATTCTCTCTTCTTTACAAGTTTTACTAATTTAGCATGAAAGTTTATCTGTGTTGGTACAAATCATTATGAAATAAAGACTGAGCTTTAACTTCCAACACTAGATACAGAATTGTATCTAGTAGATTCCAACTAGATTCCAAGTAGATTCCAACACTAGATACAGAATTGGGACATACCCCAAATTACCCCTGAACAGAGACGGGGGGCGACACAAGTTATCTGGCACGTATGACCCGCTACTACGGTCACGTGTCTCTGACGTCACGTTCCAAGAGTAGACGGGTCCATTCCGTGAACAAGGTTGATGGAGTCAACGGAAAATTTGGGGTAAGTCCCAATTCTGTATCTAGTGTTGGAAGTTAAAGTTCAGTCTTTATTTCATAACGTTTTGCTAATATTTAAACGTTATCTTATCAAGGACAACCTACTCTTGCATTGCCCAGATCGGAGAGCTTGAAACCGAGGTGGGAGAAAGGTTCGCCGAAATGTCGTCGCGTTTCGACGCGGTGTCCGCAGACGTGGATGCACGTATCGCTGCGGTGGCGACCACCATGGGCGGCGGGGAGGGTGAAGATGGCGGCAGCTTCCTGGAGAGGCCTGACGAGGAACTGTCCGACCTGAAGTACGCCATCGACAAGCTGGACGGCAGGACGTTTGCTCTGGAGCTCACCATGCGGAACCACAGCGGGGCTATCAGGTACGTAATTGGTAAACAGCCCTACAGACTCCTATTATTTTAGAAGCGTTTGCTCATAAAATTACATTGTGTGCCCACAGCCTCTTGAGTTATGTTGCACACATGCAAAAACACAACCCACTGAAACAACGTACAAACACGACAGGTGAACCGTTTTCGAACTTGACCTTCGTTTCCACAACCGTTCATAACCTACCAAATTTTTCATAATCATAGCAGTACACAGCACTCTGAATTTTGATGGTGATCCTAAGTCAAAACAATCAGTCTGGAATCCCTGTAAAGCACAAAAAAAGTGCAACAAACCCACCATTACATCACGCAGAATAAAGAAATTCGTAGACACATTACCATGGAGATTCGGCTGGAAATTGTCACACGAAGAGAAAATAAGCACGATCTAAATCTTCATTCCTTTTACCTACCTTTTTTTACCTACCCTGCATTTTAGTTTCCTCCGTGAGGACGTGGACCTTCTGGCCTACGGCAGCAGTGGGGATGGGGCTTCTCCTGCCTCGGGCGTGGATGTTCAGGTAAAGACTTTACATAATACCGTTTTCCCTATTCTTTCGCACTACATGCTGGCTGTGAGCTGTTATCAGTCTTAGCAATGGATTCATTCCTGTCAAATATCGATTGTGTTTTATGTTAACCTTCGCAGAAGGAAAACATACATGTATTGTTTTTGCTCTCTTTCTTCTTCCTCTTCTTCTTCTCCCAACAAATAAGGTCAATGACATGAACCAGACGTCTGTCGCCATGGTAACTGGTGTTAGGTTACATCATGTTACAATTTTATAGCAGGAATGATTTAGACCCCAGTCACCATATATATGAATGCGTGTTGGTAAGAATTAACAGAGCAGACCATATACGAAACTAAACATTATGCATTTGCTTTGCCTGTCTTGTTTCAAATTAAGTTTTATCATCCAACAGCTGATCCAGCGTCTCCAGGAGACCACGAGAAGACAGTCCGCCATGTTGGAAGGACACTCCGCCGCCATCTCGGAGATCTCAGTGAAGATGGACGACATCGCCAGGCTTCAGCAGCATACCCTACACCCAGATACTGCCAGTACCCATGGTTCATTGCGCTTTCTACTGATCAACTAGACGTATACATTTATTCCTATGATATATTGTGGGGTCGTATGGCGTAGCGGCAGAGTACGCGACTCGGAACTGTGCCCTTGGGAAAGGCACTTTACACGACTTTCTTCACTTAGCTCAGGTGTAAATGAGTATTGTCCTGTAATGTATTTGTCCCCTGTGTTGGTGGCTGCATTAATATAAGTTGAAAAAAACTTGAGTATGTCGTCACCACGTCTGGTGATTACATGTTGGGATAAAAATCGTCTGGTGATTACATGTTGGGATAAAATTTTAAAAAATTATAATAATAATAATATAGAATTTAATACCTAAGTTCATCTGTATAGGTTTTGAAGTTTATCTACCGGTAATGATCAAGGTGTAACAAAGTTTCAAGAAAGCTCAAGATCTAGCAACATTTGGTTTTCTTTGAAAAGTAGCAAGTAGACCATGGAATCAGAAGGTGGAGTGCCTTACTTAGAGGGTGCTACACGTACATCAGATTCATTTCAAGAACAAAAGGAAGGACTTGCCGCTTTCGTACGGTACAATGTCTTAAGTGTGTGTTTCCTTGTCGTTCTGTAGGCTCTAATTCTCCGGACACTACTAAGATCTGGACGGTGGTCACCAGCCATAACAACACGCTGGCTAGGATGGAGGTGGAGATGAAGGTTCTGGCAGACTATCTGGAAGGACAGGTCAGGGAATATGCGTTAAGATATTCCCTTTAGGGACCTCTTAAATTTTGTTCGTATCAATATAAGAAGAGGACTTGGAAAAATAATTTTCTAATTGTGGATATATACAATAGTGTAATACAAAGAAATCGGACGGACTCATGTATTCTAATATAAAAGTTCCATCTGTACTGTAGTAATTCTGTTACTTCCTGTTGTATTCTAATATAAAAGTTCCATCTGCACCTCCCTTATATGATGACAAATGTTACTGACTTATGTTAAACTTAAATGTTAATGACTCGACCATTTACCAACTCAATCATTTACCAACTCTAAATGTTGATGGCTCATTTACCAACCTTATGAAATTATTTACGGATCTAATTGTTACTGTATCGCAGAGCCGAGAGTCCCGTCCGCCGGCGTCCGGGTCCGACACGTCCGGCTTCACCATGCTGTCCCGCTCGGTGGCGCAGGTGGAGCTGGACCTGCGCAGTCAGGAGGAGACGCTGCAGTACCTGGGGGCGGACATCACCAGACTCCGCCTGGACCTGGACAAGGTCAACACAACGGCCTGGAGCAGGAAGGTCGGGGGTTTTGTATATGGATTTATGTTTATGAATATTTATACCTATAATATGTTTATGTATCCCCGAAAATAGATTCGTGAAGTTTGCACAATATAGGGTATTGGTATTTCCTTTTTCACGACCAGCAATGTCTCTTATACCTTGCTGACTTTTCAGTGTCTATCAGACACTTTCCTCAGAGCTTCTGACTGGAGTTCGGCTTCTCGCCGCTCTATGTAGCTGATGTAGATGGCGCTTTTGCGGCGAGAACACAATCCCAAACAAGGGGAGATACAACATCTGACAGTTTTTTTTGGGACGTCGTTTAGGTCGAAGGTCAAATATACAAATCCCCAAGCAAACATTTAAACTGGTAAAGTTGCTCTTGTCCAAGTTTTATGAATGTTTACCTCACTCATTACTTCCTTGTCCCTAAAACTAAAGAGTGAGTATTTCCAAACTTCATTCTGTCTACAGATGTCAACAGGAAGTAACGCAGGTGTCACCGGAAGTGAGGACATCTGGGAAGCCCTTGCCGCCATCGAGGACAAGAACGAGCAGCAGGAGGACATCATCCAGTCTCACACGTCAGACATCTCCAGCCTGCTGGCGACCAGTCGGGACCTCAGCAGCCGGCTCAGCGGTCTGTCGTCTACCGGCGGGCCTGAGGGCGTCCCGGCGGGCGAACTGGCAGGAATCGTCGCTGACCTCAACGACCTGAAGGTACTTTGACCTTGAATTTACTGCACAAAATTCGTCTTACTCTAAATCTAGCCTGGCTGCCATCCTCCATAGTTTCAGCCGGCTCTCTCACAGTGGTAGACAGAGACATTACATTGGGGATCCGGCGGAAACTACGGAGGATGGTACCCAGACTAGAGTTTGATAAACCGTGATATCAGCACACAAGCAAAATGTTATATGCGTCACTGTTTGGACGAAACTACAGCCTTCGACTTCGTCAGGAAGGCTAACCCTCATGTCTGACATGTGACTTGACAGACATGTGACTACAGTGATGAGTCAAAGGTGACTAGAAGTCCATACCGACCCCTGTCTCTTTCGTGCATGTCTATCTATGTCTACCTTGTTCCTCCAACAACCAGGACACGTCAATGGACTAATAAGTATGTAGGTACTCGTAGGTCTCACTCATGTGATGCACCAGGAACACATTTTGTGAATGCTTAACACAATTCCTTCTTTGGGGTCGTGTGGCGTAGCGGCAGTGTACGCGACTCGGAACTTAGAGTCCCGGGTTCGAGTCCTGACATGCCACCGATCTTGTGCCCTTGGGAAAGGCACTTTACACGACTTTCCTCACTTAGCTCAGGTGTAAATGAGTATTGTCCTGTCATGTATTTGTCCCCTGTGTTGGTGGCGGCATTAATATAAGTTGAAAAAACTTGAGTGTGCCGTCCCTGCGTCTGGTGATTGCATGTTGGAATAAAAAAAATTCCTTCTTTCGTTTTTTGTTAACCTCTAGGAGAAGTACACCAACATGACATCGACGGTGCGCTTCGTGCAGCAGCTGAGTAACAAGGCGGGCATCGCGGCCACGGAGTGGAACAAGAAGCGGGCGTTCTTCGAGCGGCTGTTGGACTCACACACCAGCGCTATTCTCCAGGTCAGCCTCTTGTGAAAAACGTCCAGGCTTATTCGCCACAAAACGATACAGAGCAGCAGGGGTCCTAGCCTGGTTTCCAGGGCCTACACAGGCCTGTTCCTCGCCTCCAGGGCCAACATGCCCCCAAGGAAATCATACCACAGCACCCCTCAGTTAGGGTGCTATGGATCTGGCATCCAGGCTACAGGGTTCCCACTGATCTGCCGCAAAATCCTGATGCAACGTTGACCAAACATCCAACGAAACTGTTAAAAATCCGGGTTTCGCGACTGCACAGTACGTTCTGCCAACGTGCTCTAAGCCCAAGACCCTTTTTAAAAGCATTTCTTTTTTTTTTGCTAGTACGTCTTTGTCCCAATGTGTTCTAATGACGTTTATATTTATGACGTTTACCACATCTCCCACAGTTGATGGACAAGACCAACGCCATAGACGCCCAGATCGCGCGCGCTCTACCTCTTGTCTCTTGTGTCTCTAAGTCTTTTTTTTTATTTTCACCACTATATAGATTTCAATGTGTTCTAATGATGCTAAACATTTCTCCCGCAGTTGATGGACAAGACCAACGCCATAGACGCCCAGATGTCTCTCCACCTCTCCGAGAACAAGATGCAGTCGTCTTCAGGGGGGCGGTCCGGGGGGAGATCGGGAGAGCGGTCAGGGGGGAGGTCTGCCGGCCGGAGAAGGAAACAACAGGGGGGTGAAGAGAGGGGGTGACCCAAACAACGTATTGTAACGTAGGTACATCGTAAAGTACGTATTAGAGGGAGCGTTGATATAGAATTGCAGTCAAAATTTAGTATGGGTCATAGTGACGAACACTAGTTAGTGTTTCAACTTACAAGTGTATCATTCGCAACACTAATAGATGGAATGGATGAATAAGGATTGGGGATTCCAATATGTAATTGTTCTGCAGTCAAAATTCAGTAAGAGTCATAGTGACGAATACTGGTTAGTGTTTTAACTTACAAGCGTATACATTAATTCGCAACACTAACAGGGATGGATGAATAAGGATTGGGGATTCCAATATGTAATTGTACTGCAGTCAAAATTCAGTATGGGTCAGTGACGAATACTGGTTAGTGTTTTAACTTACAAACGTAACATTAATTCGCAACACTAACAGGAATGGATGAATAAGGATTGGGAATTACAATATATTTTAAAATCTCGCTGCCCTCTGATCTTTCTATTTCCTTCTACAAAATTTGTAGAAGGGAGAAGAGAGCTAGTGCGTAAGTAGCATTCAGTAACGTTTTAAAAAGTGATAAGAGATAGTCAAAAGCTAGGTTGTTTTGTTTAGAAATGAATAGTCTTAATGCTTGTATAAGTTGCTGCTTAATGATGAAAGGGTAACATTTGTAATGGTCGTATTTTTGGTTGGATAGTTTTATAATTACAATTGTGGCATCAGCAATTATTCAATTAATTTTTATTGCTAAATCTATAATTATGTTAACCAAATGACGATATTTACCTTTACTTTCTAAAATATTTTATATAAAGAAATAAGATTGTTGATTGTGAAGTCTAATGTGGAATTGATAATAGAAGATTCTATTGATGTGGAAAATTTCAGGCCAGGTGAACATCACGTAACCGTTAGTAAGAATTTTGTATTTACGAATAAGGCCACAGCAAGTAATTTTTATGGATGACATCAGCGCGCGCATTAATTTTTGCCTGACTTTGGAAAAAAAACACAAGAAATTTGGTTGCCTTCTGACAGTGGTCAACATGCCGAAAATGGGCAAAGATGTCTGCTGCCATGCCGGAACGTGGATGGCAAATAACATAAAGAGAGGAGACAAGACAATGCTCTGATTTAATGTTTTGATGCAGTTATATGAGATGCTGGCTGTGTATATGTGATGTTCCCACTGAATCAAAACCATTTGCACAATGATTGAGTTAAAATTTTAAAATGTAGGACCTTGTTTTTTTCGGCCCGTCTTGTTTTTTTTTCGCCCGCTCGCATTAAATTTGGAGTCTGCGGAGGATGTCATCCATAAAATTTACTTGCTGTGGCCTAATATTTCTCTTCTTGGTAAAGATAAGACATGGACAAGGAAACAGACAAGAATGACTACTTAACCAGATACGTATGCTTATATTAATGAATCATTTATTTCTGTATTAATTAATTCAATATTGCTCTTATTTACATCAATCGCATGTGTAAGTTTGGAGGTTCATAATGTTTTGCTTCATAACTGAACATTTTGTAGTTGTTACGTTTCGTAGGAAAGATTGATTTGTTAAAGACTATCGGAATCATATTCAGCAAGCAAGGGGGCTGTCCTACACAGAGTTATTCTATTTTGTATATACGAGATAAACAGGTACGTGAATAAACTACCTCTTTTAATACCAACCCGTCTAACGTATCATTTTTTAAAATCTTCATTGAAACGATCACACAAGTAGACACAGTTAAGTTGGACTTGCTATCAACCTCCAGACCACCCATTTCGGTGGAGAATCAAACCTAATACGTTCCAGGCGAAAGTAAGTGTTACTATAGGTCAAGCCTGTGTCGAAACGAACACAGCACTGTGTAACAAACGCAGCACTGTGTTACATACATGAACTTCACCGTAAGGTGGCGCTGTGACACGGTAAGGACGAGAAGCAACAAACGATCACCTTTCAAACGGTGCCCTTCAGGCAGGATGGAGACGATTTATCTTTTTTCAATGCACTTTACATTTATTCTTTTGCGCTAAGTTTGCTTTCTAAAAATAGGCAGACTAGGCGTTCCTGGTGTAGTATGCTCACGAAAAAAACTGATACGACCCAGTACCTTATTCACGTTCTTCTGGGACTTTAAATATACACATATACACAATACCTCGAAAAAAAGTTTCCGGCCCACCCTAGTAGAGTAACATTGGACTTTGTGCCGATAGTTTCAAGTAAGTGCTATAGTTTATTTTCTTGTTTCTCCGAAAGGCAGTTGGAATGAGAATGGCATTCTCATCACAAAGCTAGAAGTCCCAAAAAGACCATTTGAAAGGCTGCACGCTTCCCACTATTTTGGCAACAGCGGTTTTACACCAAAAATAAATAGTACACTTTTCAGTACACGCCTGACTTAACATACATTTATTGTGTAAATAGTGTAATCTATAGTCTTTGAGGAATTCAAGTACGTCTATTGTCTAGCACCCTGTTCAACCCATTAATGAAACTCCCTTTAATTCTGTCCTCCCATCAAAACCATTACAGAGTTGTCCCGATTTGAAAAGACCACAGAACTTTGGCCAAGTCTTGCGTTCAGGCCTGTATAGATGTCTTCTTCCTAATCGATGGCTACACAGGAGTCACTACAAAAGGTAAGTCCTGTGGTTTTCTCACTTCACCCAATATGTAATCAAGATTTCTATTTCTCCTGTGATTTGATAACAGTAGTTGCTATGAATTCAGCCTTGCCTATGCACACTGTTCCTTGATGCGTGACGATCATATAATTGTGAAAACTTTCACCTTTACCATGTATCTATACAAGCTGGTAACAAACCATTCTTGTAAAAAGTCCTAATAAGTTTAATATGGGGGTGAATTTGGTGATGTGTGGGTTAACTACTGTATGCTGCTTTGAATAACAGTATGGTTACCTGACGCCAGACTCACACTTGTATGGAAATGTCATGAAAAGCCGCAATTTTATTTGTGTGGGGGGAGGGGAGGATATCGGGGTTGCAACTCATCGTCTGGATATGTCCTTGCTACATGTAAAACTAAACCACATCCTCTAGGTGCGGAACCGCTACCTTTTGTAGTTGGACTTGAACCACATCTTAGACACCCTTTCGTGACCATGACTAAATTATGTCCGGGTTTTCAAACGGCAATGAAGTGAATTTATTCTGAACCACAACGCTCTGTCATCATAGAAAGCCAAATAGTGGTTCTGTGGTTATACCAACTAAATTTCCCGTTTTGATATGTTTTCTGTCTTCTTTTCTCCTTGCGTTTGGTAGCTGTAGGGGGGGGGGCTCGTGTACTTTTTCGTAAGGCGTAATCAGGCCTTTTTAGTCTTCGAAACCTGTAGGCAGCCTCCCAAAAAATCAACGTAATTTGTAATAGTACATTAGCCGCAAAGCGTAAAGTTGTAATCAGCTCTAGCTCAGACAGGAGTTAGTTGAGACTTTATTTTTGCGTAATTCGTAATCACTATACCCCCCCACCCCCACATGCATGCACCCCCCCCCCCCTGTATAACGCACTGTTTGCCTTCCTGTAAATACCTTCTGTATCTTGTAGTACTGACATTTTGCTGGGAGTACTGGTATTTCACTTATGTGTCGTCTACCGTAGGGACTATCAGGTGCATTCAGAAGTGCCAAGGTGATAGAATATTGACGTTAAAGAGCGCTTTAGTGTGTTTATGTCAAACTTAAAGCAATTAAGCGGCAAGGCTATACATTATTCGATTAGGTACAGCAAATTGATGTTGCAGCAATGTTGACCGAGGCATTCTTGTGAAATTGATTAGTCACGCGAGATTTGGCGAGGTCACGCGTGGGGATCAGATCTCGTTTGTTCGCGCGTGACTTGGGGGAGTGTGAAGTGCGCGGTTGTTGGAGGTTAGAGTCCCCAACTGCACCGCTGAGCTCTCTACGGGGACCTGGCAGGTCTCAGGGTCTGGGGAAAGCATTTCAGACGTGCGACATATGAAACTTCACAAAGAACAAGGAGCTTTTGATTAATCCAATTAAAGATAGGTGTCTAGTTTGCCAAAGAAAACAACATATCAAGTATTATATATGTCGCTGTGGTCCAACTTAACTTTAAGTTCTGGACTATTGCCACAGGCATTTGAAATACGCAGCGTTTCAAGATTTACATGACATTGTAATGCGCTTTTTTTTCTTAAAATGAAACATTTTTACAGGTTAAAATTAAACATTTTTCCAAGTAAGAAGTTAACTGTAATGTCATTGTTTTTGCTCGTTATAGAAGCTCTTTACAAGTAGACAAGCATGAAAACACTCCATGAAAGAAACCTCCGATTTTTTGTCTCTACCTCCCACGAACACTGTGCTTGTACAGGTGACAGGTGTGACCGTGTGTCTGGTGGAGCGGCTAGATAAAAGTGCTTCAGTCAATGTCAAAAGGACTAGGACACAAAGCACGCCCCCCTCCCCAGACTTTGCTATATTTTTACTGTGTGTGTCATCTGGGATCTCCCATTGGCTGGTGTTTTGAGCCGTAGACGAAGACAGGAAATACACCGTCTCGGCAGATTTGTCGTGTAAACAAACTTGGCAGACGGACAGCCACGAGGCTAACCTGGTATCCAGTCTATCGTGGTTGTGGCGGGTTTTCTTCGGGGCTGCCAGAGCTCTTCACCGCCCGACTCAGTGAGTTTCCCCGGTAGGTTTTTCACGACTTGAAATTGATTAGCGGTACTGGGCGGTGCACGGTGGAAAACTATTTATATAGAGCCCCGAACACAGCCTGCCCCAACCACGATAGGCTGGATATCATGATACTAGTACCACGAGGCACGTATTGTGGCGTGAATGGTCAGCTCTAGCTCTGCAGCCATGCGTGACCACAGGTGACCAGTGTCCACGTAGCCGCTGTCTTTACGTCCCCATCCGAAATCACGAATGCAACTCCTCACAACCGTGCCTGTTATCAAGCCATATAAAGTACATGAACCTGCCAAATACATGACTCCGACACTACTTGGGGGTTTCCAATATACCTGAGACAAGGGATGGGAGGGGTTTAGTCTTGATGTGGGAGACTTAACCAATCATAAGTCTAACCCTAGCCCCGAACAATGATCCCAACTCTAACCCTAACTCTAACACCAATCCTAATCCTAACCCTGACCTCTCACGTATGTGTCAGCTCAAGGATTTGCGGCTCAACATCGGAAATCGTTCTGAATGACCTATAGCCCAAGCAGATGACCACAGGTGTCCGAAAAGAGAAACCTCGTAGTTAGAAACATGTTTTTACAACGTCAATAGCCAGGTCTATAGGGTACGGTCTAGACAAAACAGGACGAGCACCAACTACGTTCATAGTCGACTTCAGTCGGGCTAACAGGGCAGGGGGCATCCCTAAAGAGTCATTAATTAGCAAAGGCAAGACCATGTATATCACAACCCCTGGTAAAGACGTTTTTCGTCGAGGCCATTGCCTCGCATTAGGACCACACTGACAAACTTCAATCGTATTGGCACGCAGCTGCTCAAGACTGATGAAAAGACAGAATTCGGCTTTGCGTGCAGCGGATACTGGCTTAAAAGTAGGTCAGAACGTCATCTTCTATTTCTGTCACAAACACGAACGTCACAGGCAGTGACTGTGGGTGGTGAACCCTCTCTTCGCTTCCTGAAGTTTCTATCTCTTCCCGCCTTTTTGCCCTGCACATCCCTAGGTTTCTTTGACGATAGATTTTTTTTAAGAACATCTTCTATTTCTGTCACAAGCACGAACGTCATAGGCAGTGACTGTGGGTGGTGAACCCTCTCTTCGCTTCCCCAAGTTTCTATCTTTTCCCGCCTTTTTGCCCTGCACATCCCAGGGTTTCTTTGACGACAGTTTTTTTTTTTTTTTCAAGAACATCTTTTATTTCTGTCCCAAACACGAACGTCACAGGCAGTGACTGTGGGTGGTGAACGCTTCCCCAAGTTTCTATCTCTTCCCGCCATTTTTCCCGGCACATCCCCTGGTTTCTTTTGACGA